GAGCCGGCGCGGACCGGCCCTTTCCGGGGCTGCGCGGCACCCCAGACCTGGAGCCGGCAAAAATGTGCCTAGTCACGGGGCCGCTCTCGGGGGAGTTGAGGCCCACTGCGCTCCGAGCCCCGGAGCCCCCGCCCCGCGCACTTGGCCCTGGATCTCCGCGGGCGCGGGCTGCGTGGTCGCCGTTTTCCCTCTGGCCGTCTGCGGGCGGCTTTGCCGAGACGGCGAGTCGCGCTCCTGGATCTCAGACCTAGGAGACCTAGCGCCCGGGGAGCGAGAGAGAAAGTCCCCAGGTGCCCTGTGCGCCCCGACGCCTCGACGTGCGGCGCCGGCCGCGCCCCGCGCGCTCCCAGGCTCGGGCCCTGGCTCGCGGAGCCAGTACGGACTTTGAGGTCCGACTCGGCCGCGCCCCCGGCGGTGGTTCCTGGCGCGCTGCCTCCCGGTGGCGCACGCCGTGTGCGTGGCCTTGGCCTCGGTGACAGCGGCCGGTTGGCTGTCACGGCGGCCCTCACTTGGCCCTTTCCTGCTTGTAGCGTGCAAACCTCGCCGCGCTGGGGCCAGGGGGACAAGTTGGAGCTGTTGATCTGTTGCGCAATTGTTATTTTTCCCAGGGCGGCTTTGTCTTTGGATTTAGCGTTTCAGAATTGCAAGTTCAAAATGTATAAGGCAGGATATTCTGTTCTGTGCTGTCAAGGGTAAGAGTTTGTGAGTGTAGATTAGAATTTTTACGGCTTTTAGGATATTACTGATTTTTTTTTTTTCTCTCAGTTATTTTTCCCTTGGGTCTTTTCTATATTTTTTCTTTTCTGTTTGAGAATTTGCCTCAGTTTCTTAGCATGTAACCCTCCTGGTAAGGGCAGAGGGTGGGACACTTGAATTTCATAACAATTTGCTAATCCTTTTTGTGAAATGTTATAAAACTGAAGTTTGTGTTCACTTTGTAGGGACTTTTAAAGTTCATATTTATATTACCAATTTTATTTTGTAGCAAGGGTTTTAAAAAATGTGGTTCAAGGCAATGTGTAATTTGGTATGACAGTAAGTGGGTTTATGGTCTTAAATGTAAGTGATCCTAAACATCTAATGTAAGGTTTTAAGTTACTGACAGTGTATTACTTGTACTTCTCACCTCTTAAAGTTATTTTTCTTGAACTTTCCCCCAGAAATGACTGGAATTGTATTCTGGTTCTCATTAGTATGAAAAAATAAGTTATATTTTCTGATTCTTAGCTGTTCATTAGTAACCCATAGGAATGCTTGTTTAAAGAATATATGATATAAATGAACCGTAGTTTTTAGATTTTTTTTTTCCTCTTTACTGTGTAATACAGCATTCTTTGTACAAAAATGCCTGAAAACATATGGACTGCTTTCTCTCAAACGTTGAGGTCTTCGGTTATGTTTGGTAAATATAACTGATTTTCTGCCTTTGTAATTAGGCATTCATTTGCATATTTGAAGACTAAAACGTAGAGTAAAATTTAAAATCAGCTTCATGTCTATAACTGTGATTCCTGTTAAAATCATGATCTGTATGTAGTCCAGGAAGAGTTGAAGAGTCAAAGAAGTGAAAGAAGGTCAGAATAAACTCTCCCGGTGTGAAGTGGTACTAGGATACAGGTTTTCCCTCTGTGTGCAAAGGATGTGTTGGAGGCAGAATAGCGAGGAGAGCCTACGATTCCGTATCTCTCTCAGGTGGAAAGCACCATCCATTATTACTGTTTTCAAGGGTGTCTTGGAGCAATAAAGTACAGTACTTTAGTGGATGAAGGATGAAGTTGATCTTGGACTAGACTGATAAGATTATTTTTAAAAGTCAAACACAAAGAAAGAATAGGACAGATCTCTAATCTCTGGAGTGAACCTGAAGCAAGAACAACCTGACGTTTTAAATATTTTAGATACAGGGGATACCTCCTGAGACCTTGGGGAAGCAGCATGTAGAAGGATAAACACACAGCTCACACCAGTCTCTGTAATAAAAATAACTTGGGCCATTTTGAAATTTCTCCTTCTTGTTAACTTGGGTCTTTAAGAACAATGCTGGGGAAACAAAACAACAAAAAACCGCTGGGGAGACAAACAACCTCTGTCCTCAGGGTTACTAGGAAGAGATGAGACCCAAATGCATAATTTTTCTTCATCTTTCCTTTTACTCAGGGTAATTTATCCTTGACAAAGCTGCATGAGAAAAGGAGCCTTGTGGGCTATAGGCACACTCCCTGTGCCTGTACTGGATACATTTGTATGAATAATATTTCCTCTTTAATTTTCCTGGAGCTTGGGTTAACTTTCCGGTATGCAGGAAGAGTTGGGCACTAAGGTGATGAAAGATAAATTATTGGATGCCTCTCTGTGGTGCCAGGCAATATGATAACTGCCTCACATGCATAATTTCACAGCCACCCCTGTGAAATACTGTTTGCTGTTTCCAGCTTAGGAAAGAGGCAGAGAGAGACCAAAAGCCCTCCAAGGTCACCCAGCCGTTGAGTGGCAGAGATAGGATTCAAACCTAAGTAACCTGAGCCTGGGGGCTCAAGAATTACCACTTCAAGGAGAGAGAGTGGTGCTTGGTGGCGAAAATTCCAGCACTCGGAGGCTGAGGCAGGAGGATTGCTGTGAGTTCAAGACCAGCCTGGGCTACAAAGGGAGCTTAAGGCCAGCCTGAACTGCACATAGTGAGACCCTGTCTCAAAAAAAAAAAAGAATCACTACTTCCAAAGTGGACAAGACTAGGTAAACTTTAAGCAGGGGGAAAAGCTTACTTTTAACAAGTGGATAGAATGAGAAGAACTGGGAAAGGAGAACACGAATGAAAAAGATGAAGTGTCTGCACCTTTCCGGCTTATGGGGCTGTGTACTAACCTGTTACAGTGAGGGGGAGGTGGACCTGGTTGAACATCAGGAGGGTGACTACAGGCCATCGGCGGAATTGCTGCCTGCCTTCTCTGGAACACAGAGGCTGAGGTGGGTTTCAATTTAGGACTGCTCCTCAGCAGTGTTCCAGATTTTGCCTTACATTTTCTGTTATCCTTTTTTCTTAATTAAGTCTCATAGCTACTGGAGTCTGCTTTGGTACCTTCTCCTGTTCCATTGGCTCTTTATTTTTAAAGTAATGAGCAGAAGTAAGTTTGGTAGTGAGGAGATGGTGAAGAAGGAATGTCATGGACAGGGTTAGACCAGGGTGAAGGAAAGTGTGTAGAAAGGAGGAGGGTTTGAGTTGCAAACAGCTAGCAGAAATCTCTTGGTTCACATTTAACACTAATCCTCTGTGTTGGCCCTTCTGAATTGAAACACATGTTAAGTCTTCAAGTCTATCCGGTTGAAGTTTACTTGGAACTTTGAGAAGAATATATATATTTTTAAAATCTTGGTCCTTACTGTTAAATTATTTCCAGAATTATTATCCAATTTGTTTGAATGAAGCATGCTACAAAACTTAGGAGCAGATGGACGATTTGCCTGAAGTTGGCATCCAGCCACTTCTGAAAGTTGAGCAAAACCTGTCAGGGTAGAGGAGGCATGTTTACTAGATGTAGTAATTCACCTTCATGTCAGAGTGTTTAAGTTCACTGAAAAATGGAGACTACAGTTAATATTTTGATAATCTGGTTTCTATGGGTGGCTGAAATTTCATTGCCTTTTGCTTCTAAGTGTCAATAAAAAAAAAAAACTTAGGAAGGCCAGGCATGGTGGTGCACACCTATAATCCCAGCACTTGGGAGGCTGAGGCAGGAGGATCGTTGGGAATTCGAGACCAGCCTAGGCTACAAAGTGAGCTCAAGACCTGTCTGAACTGCATAGCGAGACCCTGTCTCAAAAAGAACAACAACAAAAAAGTCAATAAATAAGTGTCCATAGGGTGTAGCCCAGTGATGGTGAACCTTTTAGAGACCAAGTGCCCAAACTGCAACCCAAACCTCCTTATTTATCGCAAAGTGGCAGCACCACAATTAAATCTGAACACAGGTTTTATTCTAGAGAAAATAACTCATGCATTAACACCTTTTGTCTTAAAAGAAAAACAGTAACATGCGTGCCATAGGTTCGCCACCACTGGTATAGACCAAGACTTCTTCAATTAATGATGGTATGTTTTCTGGAAATGAAAGCAAAAATATGTTCAAGTATATAATATTCACACTCCCAAACAATGCTGGAAGAGTGCAAAAGGTATTCTTATCCTAACTCCCCCAACAAAAACAGAACAAGACCATGAAAATCCTGCCCTGAAATTGGACTTTTCTGTGTTTTAGCCCTTGCCACAATGAGCACCTTTTACTTACTTTGCGTTAAGAATTTTAAGAACTCTGAGGGCGGGAAGCACTTTTAATGGGTCATTCTTACAGCGTATGTACCATAACACTTGTGTATTGAAAGCCGCCTAATTCAAAGGCTCTGTGGGTATATCAGCAACACATTTATTCGCCCCAAACTGTGGTAGTAGTGAAGCAAATCCAGGGCCTAAGTGGGATTTAGAGCGCCAAGTCCATCTTTCAGAGACCCTCTTGACAGTTGAGAGTCATCACAGTCCATCCACAGCCTGTGTTCTGAAAACTTCCTTAGAAATTTCCTTGGCAGTTCTGAGTAGTCATTTTTTTTTTTTTTTTGATACCGGAAATCAAACTCAGGACCTTGCACTTGCCAGGCAGGCATTTGCGTCACTGAGCTGTATCCCCGGCCCTCATTCCTTTTTGATAAGCCGGGAGATTGCGATTTTGGGGCCCATAGTGTCAGCACTGCACTGACAAGATCTGAAAAAGAAAAATGATTGGGTAGGAAAAGAATATGAGGTCACTCGGTGCACGTCTTTTATTTTTCCCTATTACTTGGACAATTCACAATGGCCTTTAAGAATGCTATTAATTGCTGAAGAGTGTTCCATTTTATGGCTAAACCATACTTTATTTACCCATCATCTGCTGATGGGCTTTAGAGTTATCTTCACTTTCAGTATTTATGTTTGTTTCCTACAGTGGTTCTCAAAGTTTGTCATATATTAGATTTACCATCTTTATTAAAATAACTGATGCCCAGGCCATATTCCCCATGCGTCAGAATCTCTGGGGTGAGTTTACGTGGTCGAGTGTTTTAAAGCTTCCCACGAACTCCAGTGTGCTGTCATGTTTGAGAGCCAGTGCCCCGGCACACCTAGCTCGGTGCTGGGTGCTCTGAAGTTATCTAACGAGTGATTTAGGAAAGCTAGTTAGGTTCTCTGCCTTTAAATCATGAAATGTCTTTACATCTGCCCACTGACCCCCGCAGAATTACAATTAATGCCTAAATCTGGGAACTGTGTTTCATGGAGCCTGGTGAATGTTTGAATTTCAGTAAATAAGCCAGGTATGGTGGCACACGCCTATAATCCCAGGACATAGGAGGTTGAAGCAGGAAGATCACTTCGAGTTTGAGGCCAGCCTGGGGTACAAAGTGAATTCAGGGCCAACCTGAACTGCAAGTAAAACCTTGTCTCAAAAAAGCCAAAAAAAATTCAGTGAACAGAAGTAGATTTCTTTAAATCCCTTGTCAAGGTTTGAGGGATAACCCTGTTATCAAGACTTTCCCATGTGACTTAGTAGAATTTTTCCTTTTTTTTTTTTTTTTTCAGAAATGCGCCCTGCAGATAACCAGCCACCTAGATTTGGGGACAACATGTAGACGAGGCAGCGAGGATGGAATGTCCCAAAGCTGGGGTGGGGGCTGGGAGTTTGGAGGCCAGCATGGAATGCTGCCTTATCCTAGGAGGCTCTGCATTCCTGGACCTCATTATCTTTCTCCATTACGAAGAAAACCCTGCATCTCCCAGGCAACTTCGAGCAGCTCCATGTTTTGGATAGTATTATCTGCTTGATAAGACCAACTTTCGATCTTGACAAGGTGACTACCATTTATACTTCCCCGAATGGTGTTCTGGTTCAGATCTGTCCCTGGTCTTGTCCTTTGCCCCTTTCTTACTAGTTATCTCTCAGGAATATATTTTTAAAATTCTAAGCAGCAGAAGTTTGAGGTTCATGTAACATGTCCCTCCTATTGTTTTAAGATTTTGAAAATGCCTTCTTTTATGTGTTATTACGAGTTTTGTGCTAGAAGGTAGCAGCAGTTAGGCTGTAGCATCGCATACTTGTGTTTTCTTCAGCTGTTCTGTGCATTAAGTGCCCTTTCCTTTCTTGTTAGGAATGCGGTTGACGTGCAGGGTGGATTAGTATCTCTGATGTTGGTGTGAGAGAAATGACCAGAATTTGGGGGCTATTGATTGTACATGTAGTTGGCCCGCCCACGGATAAAAGGGCGCGGACTCTTCCATTATTTCAGACTTGACAGTCTTTTTCTGGTCTACTTAGGCAAAACTTAGAGTACTGCACGTGGATTTGGGACCCAATCTCTTCCCAGCGCAAGGGATTAGAATAGAAGAAGGGCAAGTGATCATGAGGCTTTGTGGTCTCTGCGAGCAGACCAGGCACAGAGATAGATGTGTGATGGATATGTGATGGAATCACACCACTGCATCAGGTTCCTGGACACTGACCAAGCATCTGGACTCTGTTGGTTTGTCTTACAGTTCTGGAGCTAGGGAACTTTGCTACTATGACTAGCGAATGATGAAGATCCATGAATTTTTTGACCTATGAAAAACAATTTTTATAAACTTTTTTTTTTTTTTTTTGACACAGGATCTCACTATGCAGTTCAGGCTGGCCTTGAGCTCACTCTGTAGCCCACGCTGGTCTTGAACTTGGAACAATCCTCCTGTCTCAGCCTCCCGAGTATTGGGATTACAGGTGTGCACCAGCGTACCCATCAGATAAACAATTTTTTTTAACCATTAAAATCCTGGAAATGAAAACCACCAAAAGTTAAAACTCACCATCTTGTTTCACTTGAAATAGGAAAAATGGCCCATTTTTGAAAAAGTTATTTCTGTCTTTGATAATTCTCGATGGAAGATAATGAAAAGTACATTGTAAAACCAACCCCAAAGGGCTGGAGTAGGGCTACGCTCTCTTGTGCTGTGGGCTCAGGCCCCCACCACCCCACCGGCTTTTTCACAGGCTGGGATGAGACCTATGGATCCAAATTCTTCTCCAGAGAAGACTTTCACACCCTGCTAGGCAGTTCTGTACCAGGCTTGCATGTCTGGGGGACTTGGAGCAATGGCTTCCAAACTCTGATCCAGGGGCTACCCCCTGATACGGGAGGTGGAGGAGGCATCTGAAGAGAGCTGGGCGATCTCCTGTCTCTTTTCAGTGACCCTTGACAAGCAAAGTCTGTCCTAGAGAGATGTGGATGGAATGACACCCTTAGGTAGAAATTCAGTGTCTCTTCTCTCCTCTTTGTTCACCACTGCAAGACTCGCGAGAAAGTCTAGGGCTCCAGGTTCTTGTGTGCCTCAGGTTTCCAAAGTCCCCTTGATAACAAGACACTGTAAAGCTTCTGAGGTCTGGTGTGCACCAGGAGATAATAACTGGAACTGAGGAAACAATTACTCTTTCATTTAGGATCATGTGGCCAGCTCATTTCCTGTGCTGTGGAGAGGCTTGCCTTTGGTGTTACATCTGGACACAGTCGTCCCTCAGCATCCAAGCACATCGGTTCCTGATCCCCCTGCAGACAACAGAACCCACCGTGCTCAAGTCCTTTGTACAAAGGGGCATGGTATTTTCACATCCTCCTGTATACTTTAATCCTCTAGATTACATACAATACCTAATCGAGTGTGAATGTGGTGTACATAGTTGCTATACGGTATTGTTTAGGGAAAAAAAGTATGTGTGTTTGAAAACAAAAATTACATATTCAGTACAGGGAAAATTTTAAAAACATTTCAGTGTGAGGTTGCTTGGATCAGCAGGTCTGGAACCCATGGATATGGAGGTCTGACTGTAGAGCAGGACTGGCAATTTCGTGGGGAAGAAAAAGGGAAAGAAACTAACATTTGACAACCGACTCATCCCTTAGGCCTGTTCTCTTACTAGATGCTGACAGTAATTTTGTGGAGATGTCTCCATTTTTATAGGTGACAAGCCCTAAGAAAGAGGTTGTTAAGTCAGTTGTCCCGGGCTGCTGCTTGTAGCTGGCAGAACGGGGACTTTGAACGTCTATAATCGGTACTCTCCTTGCCCGCTCATGCCTGTTTTACCCCTTCCCTGCTTGTCTGAAGACTGCAGGCATTTTGTTTGATACTGAACAGGGGCGCTCCTTTACCGAGACGAGTAAAGCAATGTCCCCACTTCCAGGGTCTCTTTCAGTGTTTACCAAAGGGGGCATTGTTGCATATGACCAGATCTCTTGTAGTGGAGGGCTGCCCCACATCCCAGGGTATTCAGCATTATTGTGACTAGCAGGAAGCGCCCCACCCCTGCCTCCATACAATTCCAAAAGCTCCTAGGAGGCAGTGGTTATCAGCCCCAGAGGAACCTCAGGGCAGCAGTGACTTCTGGAGACAATGTGAAGCCAGGATCTTACTGCTTGTTGTCAGGAAATCTCAGCTGTTACTTCCTTGGCCTTTGTAGGAAAGCTACCCTTCTCTCTAGGTGGTGGGCTGTTTATACCTTTTATTCTCCAGGCAAGCAGGTAATGGAAGAGAGATCACAGAAGCAGAGAAAGCTGAGAGACCAAAGAGATTAGGTATAATTAGTGACTTGTCCAGATCCTGTCATACATAGCAATGTTATTTGATTTGGTAATTTTTACTCATATGAAGACCTACAGCTATAAGGAGTTGGTGCTAAAAAGATAAACTAAGCATTACCCTTAATTTCTAAGGAGATACAGTTAAAAATCAAGCCCTATTTCTTTGGGTCTTTTCTTTTGGACACATTTTTTTAAAGAAGTCTGAGTACTGAGAGAAAAGTCAGGGAAGCTGTGAAATAGTTGAGCAAGTTGAGATAACATGGTAATAGCTTAGTACTAAGGACAAAAAGTTTACAGTATGGGGGCAAAGTTTACAGTATGGGAGAGAAAAGTCAGGGAAGCTGTGAAATAGTTGAGCAGGTTGAGATAACATGGTAATAGCTTAGTACTAAGGACAAAAAGTTTACAGTATTTGCCTACTTGTTTTTCCGGACATCAGCCTGAAGGAAATAACTCATATCCTCCAAGAAAATACATTTAATCAAAAGTTGTATTGATTAATGATTATACTGTCCGAGCTGCGAATTTCTCTTCGTGGACATTTCAAAATACTGTCCCATTTGTTCTCTTTCAAAATCAATTTTGTTGTTACAAGTAAAGGGTGTGTGTTGAAGGGATGTTAATAGTTCTTAAGATAGGATATTGTATCTTATTAGTAGGGTACTTACAGAATAATTTTGAAGGACTGTTACTAGAATGAGGTTAAAGTAATTTTTCTGTGCCTACTAGTTGGGTCAAATGATTTAAAATGTAGGGTCTTCGTTACTAAGTAATTTGTATTCTTAACCTTAGAGACCTTCGGTATACAGTGAAAATACTGAATCCTGAGCTTAAATAATGTACACTTATTCATTCCACAAGTATTTATTAGGTATCTACACACCCTAGGGAAATTTCAGGCTATGAAAGTTGTTTTAGTCTTCCAAGATAATGACAAACTGTTCTCTTTCAAGGACAGTTGCTTTTCAGATTGCCCCTCGTAATTAATCTATCTCTTCAACCTGCATATACCTGAATTATAGGATGTGTTGTATATAATAAAGAGTATAAATTAACATCTGTCTCTTCTGCCATTGGTATTAAGCTCCTCTGGGATAGGGAGTATATTTTATTCCTTTTGGTAGCTCTAATGTGTATCACCATGCCTGGTGTTTATTTAATAGTTGCTCAGTAAATGTGTGCGTCTGCAAATTGCCCACTAGGAGCTTGGGACTTAATGCAAACTAGGCTGTGGTATATGACAGGTCCTTAACAACGCCACACGAGAAAATGCCACTTCACCTGAGATGTTCAGGGAAGACATCCCGGAGAAGGTAGCATTTTTCCACTGGACTTTTTTTTTTTTTTTTTTTACAGCTAGTAGGTTTTATCTGCCTCAGGCTTGTAGGTGAGCCGAAGCCCCAGGAGTGGGACGGGCATGAGGCTGACTGTGGCACAATATTTTGTGCTCAGGGCTGGAAAGGTTAACTTGGGGGAGCTGGTTGGTGCCTTTGGTGCCCCTTGTGAGTGTTTGGAGTCTACGCAAGGCACCTGGAATCATGGGAAGTTTTGGAAAGGGGAGAGCGCCAGGGCTGGATGCAGCAGGAAGTTAGGGGTGGTGCGTGGAAGACCTGACGGCCGGAGGAAGTGAGACTCTGGCCCTGCTGCCAGCGCTGTAGGTGTGAGCATGCTGACCATGGCTTAATTGGTTGGGGGTCAGCAAGGGTAGTAAGGGTCTTTAAAACGGCTCCTTTGCTGGCCATTTAAAAAAAAATTTTTAAAGGAGGAGAGTGGATTTTCCGTTTGGCCCCACCACAGAATTGCTTCTGCTCCACTGAGCCAACTCTGCTCTTGCTTCGTGGAAGGAGAGGAAAAGCCAGCCAGATGTTGCCATTTTGCTTTCAGAATAGATTCTTCTCTTTCCCCAAACTGACACAGAGGGACTTTGTCTTTGCTCGTGTTTAAGATTGATTTAGTCTTCAATCAACTCTAACAGCCTTTTCCTTGGCTTCCAGTCACAGTGATTTTCACTAATCATAAAAAAAAACAGCAGCAGCAAACAGCATTCTCTGACCTCCTGCCTGAGCCCAGAGCAAAGAGCTGTGGGCCTCCAGCGGTGGTAAAGGGACAACCGCAGCCTCTGGGCTTCCAGTGCTGGGTGTTTGTGTTCTGGTCAGTCCTGTTACCCCCAGTGAGGTGAACAGCCTTCTCCATCTGCTCAGTGAAGAGCCTGAGAGGTCATGGCGTGAGACTGCATGGCGGGCTGCGCTTCCCTTCCATCAGTTCTATTGAATTTTTTTTCTTTTTGGTACCAGGAATTGAACTCACAACCTCAGGCTTGCCAGGCAGGCGCTGTGCCGATGAGCTATATCCCCAGCCCCCTTCCATCAGTTTTAGACACCAACATACCTATGCCACAGTGCTTTTCAGAGCCAAGTGAAGAACCAGGCATGAGATCTAGGGTACAGCACACATGCAACAGATGGCGGCTGTAATTATCATCATCGTATTGCTTCTTTGTCGGGGATGGTTGAATGTATGTGGATCTGAGGTTTCCATGGCCCACCTGAAAACCCTGCTCAAGTTCTGGCTGCATAACAGCGTGAACATCCGTGCCCCGTTGTGCTCTTTGCTATAAACATCTCATCCTCTTGTGCTCTTCCCTGCGCACATCCTGGCCTTATGTGGGCACCTGCTTGTTCTAGAGACTGAAGCCTCCTGAGACAGAAAAACTAACCTCTGGCCAGGCCTCACTTTGTGCCCCAGGCTAGCAGAGCCCACACACTGCCCAGGGCTCCTCCCTCCTCCCCGTCTCCTGGACTCCCCGTTGCTACAAGAATTGTTAAACCATTTTAGAATTCCTTCCCAGACCCACTCCTTCACTTGTGGCGGAATTTTTCCCTCTGGGGTTTTAGACCTGAAACCAGTGTCCATAGGCAAGTTATGTGGTCACAAGGAGTTTCGGGCATGCCACGGCATGGGTAGACCGCTAAACCCAAACACGTCAGAGCCACTCCTCTCCTTGTCCTCTCCCTGTGTCCACCCCTTCTATAAAGCTTTGAAAACATCTTTTGAAATAACTACCCCTAAATAAATCTGGCCTTTAGAAAAGGCAGAGCGGTGAACGAAAAGAAAACTTTCTAAGATTCTTGGGAGAGATAACACAGCTGAAAGGTTTTTTACATTTCCAGCCCTGTGTTATGCAAGTACAAGTTACATAATCAAGTTATGGCCTCACGATCTAGAACCAGAAACCTAAAAAGCAGTCACTTCTCACGGTCATTTGGCATTTGCAGCGGGAGCTGGATTAAGAGTATTACCACCCTGCCCTGGGTGGTCCTCTATATTTTTTAAGGGGCATTAACCTACTGTTTTCTCGTGAGAGAAACCATCCTGTGAGGACTGGTGTTGGCATGGACAGTGACAGCGCAGTGAGGTTGGGTGGCTGGACCTCATGCAGCTAGTTAGCAGCGGAAGTCCCAGGGCCCACCCTTGTGTCTCCACTGCCCCATGCCGCTTCGCTGAAGAAGCCTAGGCAACTCTGAAGAGCCTGTGTTATTGGAGTGGGCTGGAACTCTGGTTCTGGAAAGTAAACACGCCTTTTTTGGAGCTTACCGGCACCATTTATTAGATGGAGGTGTTTAATCTCTGCTCCCATTTTCCGTACTCCAGAAGGGTGCAGAGGAGGAGACGATCCACCTGGGTTGATTGGTGGATACACATTTTTTTTTTGGATATATGATTTTGGAATAATGTTGGACTCAGAGAAAGTATGTGATAAATGGTGGCCATTATTCTCACTGTAGACTGCGTTATTCACTCCTAGCTTTATCTGAACTTAGATCTCCACAGTGATTTTTCATTTTCAGATCTCAGTGTGAAGGTTTACCAGGTAATCCCTTTGTCTACGTAGTTATGTAGTGGATTAACTGAAAATATTTACATTAAAGACTCCTACCTTAATTTAAAGAGAATGAAATAGAGAAATAATATATTAACAGTCATTTCCCTTTTTGTCCCCTTTGGGTGCTAGAGATGAATCCGAGGCCTTGGGCATGCCAGGCACGCACTCCACCACAGAGCTGTGTCCCCTGCATGATCGTCTCCTTTTGCAGACGTCTAGTTTGCTTCTTGGTGGTGAGGAATAACAGTGCATACTGTGCATTTTCAAGTGTGTATTTCTGGAAGCAGTTGACTCCAAACTTAGGGTTAATTTACATCCTTAGTGGGAGTAAAATAGTAAGTACCAAAAGCCTCTTGTTTCTATCCATTCTTCAGAAGACCGTTGTAATAATCACGGTAATTGTGTGACACCTAAATCATAGTTTTGCTGAATAACATAAAGACAGTCCATTTCATCATTAGGATTCCTTTTAGTAATTCAGACGCACAGCAGCTCGTTCCAGTCATTGAGGTAGCTTTTTTGCAAAAAGTTGCAAACCAAAAAAAAAAAAAAAGTTGCAAACCATACGAGTACCACCTAGTGTAGTTTGGAAAGGCTCATGTTCCCAGCGTGTGCCGGGTATCCTCGGAATCTGCTAACCAGAAGAGTTTGGTTCCCTAGAAATGATTCCAGGGACACATGGGGGTTCACTCTGTGGGCTGCTGCAGGTGTCCTGCCCAACCAAGAGGCCACTGCCCACTTGTGACGTTAGGGCACCTGAAGTATGATTTTAGTGCACCCCAGGAACTGAATTTTAATGAATTTTAATGTAAATTTTAAAACAGTATAAAAAAATAAAAATAAATAGAAACAGTATAAAATATTTTCTGTTAAATATCCCTTTATTGTTTTAGTAGGACTACATTCATGTCATTTTGGGTAAGATTTGTATGTGTTGTGTGTCACTTCTAAAATTGCACTAGTTAGGGGCTGGGGATTTAGCTCAGCAGCACAGCGCCTGCCTGGCAAGTGCAAGGTCGTGAGTTCAAGTCCTGGTACCGGAAGAAAAACAATAACAGCAAAAAATAAAATAAAATAAAATTGCACTAGTTTTTAAATTTTAGTTACACGTTAAAATAATGTTTAACATACTGTGTTAAATAAATGGATACAGTTACATTTACCTGTTTCCTTTTTTTTAAGCAAATTTAGTTATTAAAAGTATAAAGTTACATAGTGGCTCACATTATATTTCCATTAGCCAGGAGTTGAAATTAGTTTTCAGATTTATAATTTGGACATCCATAGAATCAGAGGCACTTAGAGGACAGGATTTTAGGGATCACCTAACCCATCCTCAACCTGGTGAAACCCAGGCCAAAGGGCTTTAGTCCCAGATAGGGACTGGAACTTGGTGTTCGTTATAGCCTGTTGCTTTGGACTCTCTGGGTTTACTTGCCATTGGGACAGCAGAGCTGTGAATAACTAGAACTTCTATCAAGTCTGAGTTGAAGAAAATGCCTTTAAAAAGAAACTACTGGACCACGGATATAGCTCAGTGGCACAGTGCCTGCCTAGCAAGTGCGAGGTCGTGAGTTCAATTCCCAGTACAAGAAAGAGAGAGTGTGGAAAGAGAGAGGGAGGAAGGAAGGAATTGTTAGTGGTAAGGTAGAATTGCAAGTGGTGTCTGATGTATTTATGATGATACTTTCATGGGGAACAGTGCTAAAAGTAAAAATTCCCAAACTTTGTTTGAACATTTACTTCAGAAAACTCCATACAGCTGTTTTTCATATTTTAACTTAATAACTCCTTTTCCCAAAGCGAGTGAATTTCAACCAGACCCATAGCTTTTGTCCTTGAAGGGAGAACGCCTGCGAATTTGACTTCACATGTTTGTTATTTGTTTGTGTTGTATGAAATTATTGAAAAGTTCAAGCCTGTTTTTATGATATTGTTGGCAAAACTGATTTAAAAGAAGAACCCATCCACAGCAACAAGGAACAGCCATTACAGCAAAACAGAATTATGTTTATTTTTTGAGAAAAATAGGGAGAAAGGGGGTATTCAGATTTCTCACAGTGACTTGGTCTCTGTGGATGTGTCTCTGGGGTTTGGAGCAGGCTGCTTCTGCCGCGTGGAGGAGCTGTGCAGCCTTTAACACTTCCCCTTCCTTATCTCCACGTGGACTACGTAAAAATCAAATGACATAGCGAGGCAAGCAGCAGTGTTTTGTGACCTAGAAGCACTACAAATGTCAGGGCTGGCAGGGAGCAGGTTGTGTGTCTTCAAGGAGGCAGAGAATGACTGCTTGGCTTACAGGCCTTGGGGAGCCCTCCGATGATGAGTTAGGTCTGGAATGTGCATTTAATGAGTACCTGGCCTTGCCTGCTGACTTGGGAGTTCTCAGGGATCCACACCCCCGGGGTGACATTTGCTCTTTGGAGGTAAGCCTGGGGCTTAGGCAGTGGAGGTGATCTACCTTCAGGCCCTGGAGCTGGAATTCATCTTACTGCAGCTGCATTTAACAAGGGCAGTCTTAGAAAACCACACAGTATTTAGAGCCTGAAGGTGAGGAAAGAAAAGTCTATGGGGAATGCAGGACAGACAGACAGTAGAGAGTGGTTTTTCTGATTATAGGGTTTCACAGGCCATTAATTTGGCCTCAAGGTGAATTTAATGTTCCTGAGAGACACATCCTTTGAGAAAGCACCTTTTCCTTGTCTTTAAGGAACCAGTTAATGGGTCAGCCCTGCTAGACATACCTTTTTAAAAAAAATTTAGTTATTTATTTTGATTTTTTGAGATAGGGTCTCTGGAGTTCAGGCTGGTCTTGAATTCACTGTGTAATCTAGGTTGGCCTTGAACTCACAGCTGTCCTCCTGCCTCAGCCTCAGTGCTGGGATTACAGGTATGCGCTGCCTCCCTTCATTTAGACATACCTTGGTTTTCTCTCAGTTTGTTTGTTAGGAAGGCTGAGGTTGCTGATTGTGCCTGTCAGCTCTAGTGCTCGGCCTGTTTAGACATCGCCCCATCTGTCTAATCGGTGCGCCCGTGTCCTCTGTTTCTTGCCCTGCAAATGCTTCGCCAGTTCAGAAGCACAAACCAAGGGTAGCTGGCTGCAGCACGGCTGGACATACTGGTGATTAGAGAAGTGCTATTTGCTGGCTAGCACTTCTGGAAGAAGAGTTTATTCTCATCTTTGGCCTTAATTTTTTTTTTTTTTTTTTTTTGGTTTTTCTCCGGTACCGGGAACTGAACTCACGACCTTGCACTTGCCAGGCAGGTGCTTTTGCCACTGAGCTAAATCCCCAGCCCCCTTAATTTTATTATTAAAAAGTAGTGATATGGTCCCAGTTTTGAAATGACTGTGAAATGAATACAGGAGATGTTATACAGTTAATACGTTTTGTTTTCTTTTGTTGTTTTAAGTTGGGGATCAAACCCAGGGCATCGTGCATGCTAAGTATGTGGGTAACACGAGCCAGCATGATGCAAGGACACATGAATCTGGAATGGCAGGGAAATGAAGGGAGAAATGGGCACTCTGCACATTGCCGGCGGGAGTATAAAAGGCATAACCTTTGTGCGGCAGTATCTGATAATGAAAAATGCAGATACTCTGACCCAGTAGTTCTACTTCTAAGTACATATCCCATAGGTATCTTCATACATTTATAAAGTGATTTATGCAGAAGGATATTCATTCTTGTATTATTTGTAATAACAAAAGAGTAGAAACAAAAATTGAGCAGGGACTGATAAACTAATTATCATACTATTAATTTAATTTCAAACTTTTGTGCCTTATATATGTTATCTGTTTTAAAAGACATTGTCATGCCCCAAAGGAATTTACAGTGGTCTAGTCGGACCACTGTAAGAAAAGCCCATGAGACATGAATAGTATGGGGTAACTCCTGGAAATGCATTTCAGTGCGGAAGTCTTATGCAGGTGAGTCGGGATCTGTCTGTAAGTCACTGGGGTTGGGCAGGCCCGAGTCAGACTGCCAAGTCTTAGTTTCCTGTCTGGGGAGAGGTGCGGGACTTCTGCAGTTTCCAGACCTTGTCCTGCTAGAGTCTGAGTGCCAGCACCCAGAGTCTGGGGAAGACGCTCCCAGGCGCGGAATTAGAAGTTCACAGGATCAGAGTCCTAGCTCTGTTGCTCACCAGATGCGAGATTTGGAACAGGGAGCTTGGTCCCCAAAGCCGCCAAGAGCTCATCTAGAACTGAAGATGCCCACACCTGGCCTTCCTCCCTCACACTACTGCACTGAGGCTCAGCTGAGAACACGCCTATAAACTATGAAGCTGAGGAAAAAAGTGAAAGTGAAGCAAAGGTCTATCTTTTTCTCCCTGATTGGTCAGAGCTGTAAAATTAGAGAAGTAGACCTGGGGTCATTTTAGAATCCTTTGACCTCTGACCCCCTGCAAATTACTGTTTCTTTCTCTAGAACTGCTTCCCTATTTGCAAAGTGAGAGGGGCTGTCTGGGTGATTCCACGGCCCCTTCTAGTCCTCGCATTCCGTGACTGTGCGGCGTAAACAGTAATTCCCATGCCGGCTGACATGAGTCATGCCGCCCAGAAAGCCCAGATGCAAGAGGAAGTCTGTCTGCCTAGGAGAATTTTCTGTGCACTGCTGAACCTCTAGGGGTTGGGAAATGAAGAACATTGCCACCACCAAGAGTAGAGACATATTTATTTAATGTTGTATGTTTTCATCACCTCCATAGTCTCCTTTGCTTTCAAATGATCACTTGGGCCAGGCCTGTGCAGACCAAGTTGAACCGTTGATGGGGGGATGTTCAGGTAGTCATGAGTTTTTCGCAGCTGTCACCTCTTCGAGGTCTTCCGTCTGTGCAGCCTGGGCTCCTTCATCTCCTCCTCACGAAGTTTCCTCTAAGGTCAGATGCTTTCTCTTCTTTTCCTTGTATCTCTAGCAGCTGGCACAGTCCTGTCCCCTTGAAGGCGGTCAGTACCTGTGTTATCAGATGCGCGAATGACTGATAATCCACTTAGAGGAGCACGTACACCAGCCGTGTTGATCGGACTGCCAACTTGGTAACTACCACAGTTCCGGCAAAATGAAATTTTAGACATTAGTACATTATCACTTCAAGAAATATACCCAAAAATGTCCACACGAAAAAAAGCAAAGTATTTTAATGGCATCTGTAATTAAAAATAAGAAGCTATAAAGATATATAGTCTGTCTGTAGTTATTTATTTATTTACAGGCAGAATCTTGCTGTATAGTTCAGGCTGGCCTTGAACTCACTGTGTATCCCAGGATGGCCTCAAGTTCGTAGCAATTTTACTGCCTCAGCCTCCCAAATGCTGGGATTTCAGGCATGTGCTACCGTGCCTGGCAAGTCTGTGTTAATAATATGTAATGTGATATATATGTATCTAAAACTCATCACCACCAGATTGTCTCTGCCATGTCACACAGGGTCTCTGACTGGCAGCAACAACAGCTGGTACTCAGCCCCAAGCTTGGGAGACTGTCCTGCTGATTATTTTTAGCTCATTGTAAGTAGTCAAATCTGAAACGGAATATTGAACTAAACTGGACCAAGAGGGTGAAGGGTAGCTCAGAGAAGTTTAGAGCTGGTAGAAGTTTCCGTAGAGCCCTGTGGTTTGAGTCCTCCTCCAAGGAGTGTGTGGTACGAGGAAGTCCAGGGGCATAGGCAGCAGGGGACCTGACCTCAGCCGCTTGGTCAGTCCATGCCCAGGTCATTTACATGTGCATTAGGTAAAGCAGGTTAGAGGTGGATCCAGGGTCTCCTAGGGTTCCGTTGGTCACATGGGTGTGCAAGTGTGTCTCCTGTAGGATCATCCTTCGTGTGACAGTCATGAAGGAGAGAACTGGCTTTCCTGTGTGTGCATTCAGAAGCAAATACATGCGGCCGACTTGGAAATGGGGAAAAGATTAGAAAACCGTACCCTACAGGTTGTCAGGTGAAACCATTCTCTTGGAAAAGCAGCGACCACCTTTGCATAAACCCCATGAAGCCTAGCAGCAGAGGCAGCCTGCTCCATTACAAACAACCTAAAAATAACTGTGGGGACCCGGCTAGGAAACCTCGCATGGAAAATCAGAGCCATGCCGATTTCACAGGATCACCTCCTGTTTGGGAAATTTAAGTGTCCTCTCTGATTTCTTTTAGACGAAACTACTTATTTGTCTTTTGAGAAAGCCCAGGTTCTTCCAGTCTTCACTTTGCAGTTTTGCTTTATCTTTTGCATCATACTTTGCAGTTCGTAGACAGGCACAAGGGGCGAGAGTTCCAGTAAGCTAGCCGGGTCATATTTCTTAGATTGAGTCATTGCTGAGAAACTTGTTTGTGAACAGGAAGCAGCTTATGAATGTATCTGTGCCTCGTAACCTGCCCACATGGACCACTTTCTAGTTGAAAGACAAAAGAGCAGAAAGAAGGTTAGGGGCTGCGTATAGAGTGTTTGTCTAGCATGTAACAATGGTCCGGCTTAGGGAAGGGTGCTAGGTGGCTCTTCAACCCAGGGACCGTGTATTAATGATTTCAGTTTGTATGCTGCCAAATCATTTGTCTGTTGGTGTCTATTTGGGAATTATTATGTAATTTTTTAAAAAAATTGTAGATGTTGAAGATTGAGGTAATAATCCTTAGGATTTCTTTAGAAGAAAAATTGGAATTAGTGATGTGTTAATACTCAAGAGTTTCTATTGATGCATACAAGTGGTTGCTAGATAGACCTTTCAATTTTTAAACAGTTCTGTAGTTACAAATCTAGCAACATTCGTATAGTTGGCATAGATGGCTGTAAAATCCCTACTGTCTCCAATAGTTATTCTGTATTTGTAATCATTCTGGGGAATTTTTTGATGTTTGTTGTTGGTGGGCTTTTTTTGACACAGGATCTCACTATGCAGTTCAGGCTGGCCTTGAATTCCCTAGGTATCCTGGGCTGGCCTTGAACTCCCTCCTTAGCCTCCTGAGTTACTGGGATTATAGGTGTATACCACCACACCCAGTGCTTTATTCTGTATTTTTAATCAGCTAGTTCACAGTTAAGAGTTAGCAATCAGTCCAGCAAAACCAAAAATGTAAGAGGGTGGGCGGACTGTAAAGAATGATCTGTCATACACCTCAAGAATTCTCTGAGAAAACAATGGACATTGCATTGTGTATCTTGTGATGCTGTATGGGTCACAGAGGAGTAATCAGGGGTTTTTTGTTTGTTTTTATCTGGTTTTTTTTTTAGAGACAGGGCCTCACTATGTAATTCAGGCTGGCCTTGAGCTCACTTTGTAGCCCAGCTGGCGTCAAACTCGCAGCAGTCCTCCTGCCTCAACCTCCCGATTGCTGGGATTACAGGCGTGCGCCACCGGCCCGCCTGTTGAGGAGTAATGAAATAAAAATTTATAAAGTATAGTTACCAGCAAAATGTATTTTAAAGACATCTGGTTGGTCTCATTTTATTTAGTAAACATTCTGACTGCGAAGTACAACATTGTTAATCAAGGAAATCTTGTTTGCTGTCTAATGAATTCTTCAAAATTCAGGCATGCCCTCAGTTGTTTCTGTAGCTGCCCATAGCTCTGTTTCAATTAATAATTTGCTTCCTATAGCTCTTAATATCTGGACAGTAAAGTATGATTCATATACTGTCTGGTTTTGTTCAGAAATATTTGGCAGTGTCTACGAAATAAAATACTGCATCAGATTTAACTTTTAGGTGAATAATATAATAACCTGGGCATAGTATGAAGAACAAACTATAAGAAAAGCATGAGATGTAACTTAAATTCTGAATTTTAGTAACATTTTTGGATGAAAGAGTGATCTTTGGGGGATAAACTTGAAGATACACTTTTTTCTTAATGGAAATGCACAAGAGGGAATAACTTGTCAGGCATGGTGGCATGTGCCTGTAATCCCACACTGCCACAGGAGGCTGTGGCAGGAGAATCACTTTGAGTTCAAGGCCAGCCTGGACTACAAAGTGTGTTCAAGGCCTGCGTGAACTATACAGTGAGACCCTGTCTCATAAAAACCAAAAAGGAAAGAGGGAATAACTTGCTGAGTATGGTGATGTATGCATTTATTAAAGACGTTGATAGTGACGATTATTTGTTCTTAGAAGAAAATGTACCACCTTGCTGTGCATTCTCGGAAGGAAAGGGGACTAGAAGGTGCAAGCTTCATTTACACACATTTAAAAGATACCATTTCATATTTCATTTAACATACAATTCTAAAATCTAAGTTTACTGAATAGCTTTAACTTAGGGCAGGGATCATGTTATCTTTTATTATTTTTCTTCTTAGTTTTTTGGATCATCTCAGCAAAATAAATGCTGGTTTATTCAAAGTACTAAAGTTGGCTTGCAAAAAACATTTAATATGAATTCTGTGTTCAAGGCCTTTCGTTTTTGTTTATCCTAGTACAAAGATGTTTGTTTTAAAGGGGTATGAGTTGATTGTCCAACTTCAGATTTCCCATAAAACCTGTGACAGATTACCCAGATGGCAAATGATGATGTATACATTTCAAACATGAACATTTCCATTAGGCCAGATGGTGATTGAACATGAATTGTCCAACATTTGTGTTTCTTACTAAATTGTCTTCTTTTATGTAAGCCAAGCTTGCAATGTAATTTGGAACACATTTGGAATTACTAAAGGCCAAACACAAAAGAATCCAGGCCCTGGGTGCCAAACAACATTCATTCCATGTGCTACAAGAAGGCTCACAGCTAACGCTTGGGTTGTCCTTAGGAAACTTTTCTACCAGTTGTCAGGAAATAATTGTTGGAATGTTGGAAGCCATCCCCTGCTTTCCTCTCCTTCCCCAAATTCTGTTTACCTGACATTGTGCACTGTGGCTGTCCTCCTGGGGGACTTGCTGGCGACCAGACAGCTGTATTTCTTCAAAGCCTGAGGTTTCTGCCCAGAACAGTGTGGTTCTTGCTAAGGCACTTCCCTTCCCTGATGTCTAGTGTCATGTTCTGGTTATGGACTCCACCCCAACTATTATTTCCTCCTAGATGGTGTGCAGCTTTGCAGAGAGATCGGGGGTGGGTGTGGAGTAAGTCATGCGCACAGTCACATGGCTCCTCACAGGAAGTGCTCGCTGCCTGTTTGGTCAGCTCAGGACGACAGAGCACTGCTCTGGTGGCCTCCCCAGCAGCGTCTGGGGTAAACAGGCTTCTGCTGTTCTTTTTCAACATCATGTTTTGAGTATTCATAGTGTCAAATCTCTGCTAGCATTTGCCTTTTGAAACATGTAAGAACATCTGAAGTGACACAGTATATTAACACCATGACAAGAAAATTATTGGTGCTGTATTCTAAATTTGATTAAAACGGGTTCTTAAGAATACAAAGAATATTTTGAAACCTGTGTTGGTGCCATTGTGATCGCATAGAATGCTTCTGGCCTGATGTAGAACAATTAGAAGTTGTCACTTTTGAAACACTTTCCACTGGCCTTCCCAGTGGAAATGGACAGCTAGAGCTGTGGGGCCACTCAGATCTCCCTGGGTGTAGCACTGTTGCAGGTCTCATACTGAGAGCAGCATGCTCTGGAGCTGACCCAAGTAAGGGGCCCTCTTTTATTTTTCCTGTTTGTTGGTAAGGATTCATCAAAGGGTCCTCTTCTGATCGCGTTATGTAGTTTAAGGCAACACCGGCTTGGAGAGTGCATTGAGAGGTACTCATAGCAGGAATTGAGTGGCTACTGAGTGAACGCTGTGTATATGGGTATTATATGGGGTAACACTGTTGTCGGCACTGTGGCCACCATTATTCACCAAAATTACATCCTTTCATTTGCTTTTTATTGCGGTATCTCAGTCTTTTTTTAAACAACACATTGCACATGGCTGATTATAAAAAATTGCAGGTTTACCCTGAGAAAGGCCTAAGCAGCTTCGTTGCTTTAATGACACATTTTCCCTTAGTGAGTAGACTCATTGAATGGAATTAACTGCTCTTTTTAGAACATTGGACCTGTATTTGCTATCAGATTTTCTTTGTAGTCATTTCAGTCATCCACAATAGCATACTGTGAATTAACCTGTGTGTAGTATCTTAACCATGACTTTCCTTCTTTTGTTTTAAATATAGGACATGGACTTGATTGACATACTCTGGAGGCAAGATATTGATCTTGGGGCAAGTCGAGAAGTGTTTGACTTCACTCAGCGACAGAAGGAATATGAGCTGGAAAAACAGAAAAAACTTGAAAAGGAAAGACAAGAACAACTCCAAAAGGAGCAAGAGAAAGCCTTTTTCGCTCAGTTACAACTAGATGAAGAGACGGGTGAATTCCTCCCGATTCAGCCAGCCCAGCACATCCAGTCAGAAACCAGTGGATCTGGCAACTACTCCCAGGTACAGAGTACTCAGTTCTTGGGAAAGTGTACGGCAGGGTCTAAGGAAACATGGACCAAGAGTTAGAATATCTGGATTTGAGTTCCAGCTCTGCCTTTTACTGTGTCTTTTGACCCTGTTAAATTAACTTCCCAACCTTGGCCTGCTGATAAGTTCTATACCCAAACTACTTACCTGACAGGATTATTATAAAGATTAAGACATAGATCACATAAAAGGGCTTTGTAAATTACAGAAACACAGTTAGGATCAAACAGTAGTAGAAGGGCTGGGGATTTAGCTCAGCGGTACAGCGCCTGCCTGGCAAGCGCAAGGTCATGAGTTTGATTCCCGGTAGCAGAAAAAAACAACAACAACAACAAAAAAAACAAAAACCGAACAGTAGTAGAAGGACTGGTAGTGGTAAAACTAGTAGTGGCCACTGCTTACCATACTGCATCAGGCACTGTTCTAATTGTATATATTAACTGATTTAATCAACATAGCTTGTGTCAGTTAGGCACCATTATTCCCATTTATGTACAGATGTGTAGCTGAAGTTCAAAAACGTTAATTTGCCCAGATCACTCAAGAAGTTGCGGGAGGGCAGGGAGTGTAGCTCAGTGATACAGCACTTGCCTAGCTTGTGTGAGGCCTTGAGTTCAATCCCCACACCATAAGGAACAGAAAAAAAAAAATTGGAGGTAGCCTGGTTTGAGTCTGTGCATCAAACTGATTTCTCAAATAAGAAATAATACATTATTCTATGATCATTAATATAAATCTTACATCAGTCACGAGTCATTAGCTTGGCACTGGAACATTTTAACAATTTTCTCTCCCTTTATACCTTTCCTCTTTAATCCAGGTTGCCCACATTCCCAAACCAGATGCTTTGTACTTCGATGACTGCATGCAGCTTTTGGCAGAGACATTCCCATTTGTAGATGACAATGAGGTATAAAACATTTGGTTAACAGTAAAACTGAACTACATTCACCATGTCCTACATGAGTCCCTTTAATGTGCCTCTATTTAAAAGAAAGGATAAAACATTTTAGAAGGAAATTTTTTATCAAGGAAATATTCTGAAAACACCTCAGTAGATAGATACTTTAGTTTTCTTATAAAACCCGCATAATACAAAATCACACACCTTTCTTATTATACAGCTATGGATAAGCATAACTGGTAGCAACTCATTTGTTACGGATATGTAACAATTTCTGGTAAGACCAAGCTGAGTAAGAAGCTAAGACTTGTTAACAATTTAAATGAATCTGTTGTATTTTAAGTACTGTACTGGTTATTACAGGTACAAATTAATTTCTAAAGATTGGGGCTTTTGGGGGCCAGGGAGATAGCTCAGTGGCATAGTGCTGCCCTGGCAAGCGCGAGGTCCTGAGTTTGATTCCCAGTACAAAAAATAAAATAAAGTTTGGGGGTTTTTTTGTTTTGTTTTTGTCTTTTTGAGACAGGGTTTCACTATGCAGTTCAGGCTGGCTTGAACTAACTTTGTAGCCCAGGCTGGCTTCGAACCCACAGCAATCCTCCTGCTATAGACTCCCGAGTCCTGGGATTACAAGCATGCACCACCATGCCTGCCAAGATTGTTCTTACCAATCTTCAAATAAGTAGAGAAATAGAAAACTGTTGCTGATTCTACTTAAAACTGCTATGATTGTGCTTTGGCGCTTCCGTATCCACAGTTGCTTTTTGCCTTTTCAATTATAGGTTTCTTCACCCACATTTCAGTCCCTTGTTCCCGATATTCCCAGCCACGTCGAAAGCCCAGTCTTCACTGCTCCCAACCAGGCTCAGTCCCCTGAAGCTCCTGTGGAGATAGCCATGGGTGATGTGGAGGGCATGCAGCAGGACATGGAGGAAATTTGGCAGGAGCTATTTTCCATTCCAGAATTACAGGTAAGATCGAACACAGTACTGCAATGCCATTTTATATGCAGTGGCTTTAAATTAGTCATTATTATTAATTATTTATATGCCACCTACTTATAGAAAGGACTACAGATGCTTTTAAATTAGTCATGTGAGCACCCAGGGCTTGCTTAACACACACTTTTATGAGTAAACTGGGCTACATATTTGAGGACAGAACTATTACAAACTTCAAATCTAAAGTAGGGCTTCGTGCCTGCGTGGCAAGCGGGAGGTTCTGAGTTCAGTTCCTGGTACCAAAAAAATAAATAAATAAAGTAGGACTTCTAAAATAAGGGATATGCTCCGTAAACTACAGAATACCCTTGAGGATAGTGGGGTGGGGAGAGTTTTACCTAAAGTCTCCAACAGCTGTGGTTTATCAGTTATTAATATTGAATCTTGATTCATACAGTATAAACTTCTTTCCACAGTGTCTTAATATTGAAAATGACAAGCTGGTGGAGACTACCATGGTTCCAAGCCCGGAATCCAAACTGACAGAAATTGACAACAGTTACTTCTACTCATCAGTCCCTTCACTGGAAAAAGAAGTAGGGAGCTGCAGGCCAGAGTTTCTTAATACTTTCGAGGACTCTTTCAGCAGCATCCTCTCCACAGAAGATCCCAACCAGCTGACAGTGAACTCATTAAATTCAGATGGCACATTAAACACAGATTTTGGTGATGAATTTTATTCTGCTTTCATAGCAGAACCAAGCATCAGCAACAGCATGTCCTCCTCTGCCACTGTAAGCCAGTCACTCTCTGAACTTTTATATGGGCCCATTGATGTTTCTGATCTATCACTTTGTAAAGCTTTCAACAAAAATCACCCTGAAAGCACAGTAGAATTCAATGACTCTGACTCGGGCATTTCACTGAACACAAGTCCCAGCATAGCATCACCAGAACACTCTGTGGCTTCTTCCATCTATGGAGACCCACCAGCTGGCCTCAGTGATTCGGAAATGGAAGAGCTAGATAGTGCCCCTGGAAGTGTCAAACCCAGCGGTCCCAAAACACAGCCAGTATATTCTTCTGAGGATACTGCACAACCTCTGTCACCATCTCAAGGGCACAGTTCTTCCATGCATGATGCCCAGTGTGAAAACACACCAAAGAAAGATCTGCCGGCAAGTCCTGGTCATCGAAAAACCCCATTCACAAAAGACAAACATTCAAGCCGTTTGGAGGCTCATCTCACCAGAGATGAGCTTAGGGCAAAAGCTCTCCATATCCCATTCCCTGTAGAAAAAATCATTAACCTCCCTGTTGACGACTTCCATGAAATGATGTCTAAGGAGCAATTCAGTGAAGCTCAAGTTGCACTAATTCGAGATATACGTAGGAGGGGTAAGAATAAAGTAGCAGCTCAGAATTGCAGAAAAAGAAAACTGGAAAATATAGTAGAACTGGAGCAAGATTTAGGTCACTTAAAAGATGAAAAAGAAAAATTACTCAAAGAAAAAGGAGAAAATGACAAAAGCCTCCATCAACTGAAAAAACAACTCAGCACCTTGTATCTCGAAGTCTTCAGCATGCTACGTGATGAAGATGGAAAGCCTTACTCTCCTAGTGAATACTCCTTGCAGCAAACAAAAGATGGCAATGTATTCCTGGTTCCCAAAAGTAAGCGGGCAGATGTTAAGAAAAACTAGACTGGGGAAGATTTGCCTTTTCTGAGCTGTTTGTTTGTTTTGTACTGTTATCCTAAAAGAGCCTATTGTGATGTGAAACGCAAGAAAATACTTTATAAGTAATTCTATGCAAAAATTATAGCCAAAACTATAGCATAGAAAATAAGAAACATTAAAAAGCATTAAAATACTAGTATGTTGAATCAGTAGTTTCACTTTAACTATAAGGTTAATTTGTTAGGGCACCATTTGGGCTTGTTTCTGTGTAAGTGTAAATACTACAGAATTTCTTATTTATACTGTTCTTGTCTCATTTGTTACATTCATAGATTTACATGATATGACATCTGCCTAAACGCAAATTGATGCAAAACTAACCACTATGTACTTTTTTAAATAAATACTGTACGAATAAAAAATGGCATTTTTTATATTAAATTGCTTAGTTCTGGCAAAAAAATTTAAGAGCTGGTACTAATAAAGGAATATTATGACTTAAATTATATCTTTGGCTTGAGTTTAATTCAGAATTTTCAGACATTTATTTTTGTACTTCAGAATGGTTTTTAAATTTTAAAAGCATTTTATACTTACTTAATATATGGTCGTAGGGTCCTAGAAAAATAAAGCGTATCAACAAATAACTCCTTATGCATGGTGGCTTACACCCGTAATCCCAGCACTTGGAGGCTGAGGCAGGAGGATTGCTGTGAGTTTGAGCCCAGCCTGAGATACATAGTGAGTTCAAGGCCAGCCTGGACTACATAGTGAAACCTTGCCTAAAAAAAAAAACTTCAGCAGGTACAGTATATCTCAAAATGTTTGCACACTGACATGAAAACATTATCAGGCATTTTTTTGAATTATTAAAAACAAGATCTCAGGGGCTGGGGATTTAGCTCAGTGGCAAAGTGCCTGCCTGGCAAGCGCAAGGTCGTGAGTTCCGTTCCCGGTACCGGAGAAAAACCAAAAAAAAAAAAAAAAAAAACAAGATCTCTATCCTCCCAGAACTTGCATTCCAATAGTGGCATATTCTATAATCTCGGAGGCACTAGAGGGTCAGAGGCTGGGGATGTAGCTCAGTGGTAAGAGTGCTCACCCATGATTTGAAAAAAAAAGACTGGGAGACCAGAGCACTGCAGTAAATGAAGTTAGTTATAAACACGGAGCCATGTTGGGTTGCAACATTTGAAAGTGGTGAACAAGGCATTCTGAAAACTTTAAAAGCACTGCAGACAGGACAGGAAGTCCAAAGGCGGCAGAGGCCTGTTTTGGATGAAAAGGACAATGTAGAGATGATAGAAGCAGCAAGCCAGGGAGCGAACGACATAAGTTTGCTGTCAATTCCTAAAGCACCCTTCATCAACCTGTCTTGGCACTCAGGCTTGTTTCCTTGTTTGGTTTTTTGTTTTTCCGATACCGGGAATCAAACTCACAACCTTGCCTCGAACTAGCAACGATCCTCCTGTCAGCCTCCCGAGTGCTGGGATTGCAGGCGTGCGCCACCACCCCGGGCCCAGGCTTGTTTCCTGACTACAGTGAAGTTCTAGTTCAGTGAGCACACCAATATTCCCAATTTTCTTTAGCTTTATTGATATTTTTAAGTAAGAAATTCAAGCAAGCTCAAGAAGAAAATTTGACTCAGATGTCTGAAAGGCTCAGAGCTGAAAATTACTTCAAGGACCAATGAATCTGGGATTCAAATGAGAAAATGCTTTACATCCTGAACATCTCGCACCGTCAAGGCATTTTCTGGTAGCAGTGGTAGTGATGACTGACGAGAGGGTCCCTAGAGGGTCATTTTTGCAACCTCCAAACATAATCTCCTGTCTAAAGTACAAATCGTTAGTCAAAGTTGACAAGAGCAGCAGCCCCATCCAGAGAAACGAACTGGTAGGAGGAAGAGCACCAGTACTCAGAGCATTTTTCTTCATCTGTACTTTTAACAAATTTCAACATCTGAGTTGCATACGCTTAAAAAAAACTCTACCATACTCGTAATAAAAGCAGTTGCACTTTTCTTGACCTACCTTTCAGTGTTAATTTTGTTTTTTCAAACAGGTTGTCGCTGTATAGTGCAGATTGGCCTCAAGCACAGGCTGGTCTCAAACTTGCAATTCTGACTGTCTCCAGAGTGCTAGGATTACAGACATGCGCTACCACACCGGGCTCAGTGTTAGCTTTATACCTGACTGTGCTCAGGGCTAGACCTGGCCCCCTCCAACTGTTAAACCTTACTTGAACCGAGTTTAGTTCTGCAGTCTGAAAATGTACACCCTGAGCTATCAATGCCAGGCCTTGTATGAGAAATCTTAGTTGCATGATACTGTATATAAAGCCTAATTTTTTTTTTTTTTTTTGTCTTTTTTGAGACAGGGTCTCGCTATGCAGTTCAGGCTGGCCTTGAATTTACTCCTCAGCATCCCGAGTGCTTGGATTACAGGAATGCTGAGATTTCTCAAACCTTTTCTGGTGTGAGGGTTCTCAAATATATCTGCCACACCCTTATTTGACTAGCCCTCAAAACACATACAAGGTATTCTCATTTATTTTTGGTTTGAGACTGGGTCTTTCTCTGGCCTTAAACTCACAGCAGTCCTCCTGCCTCAGCTTCCCAAGTACTGGTTTACAGGCATATGCTACCATGCCCAGCTTTCCCATTTAAAAGATAACTGTTGTTTCCAGTTGATGTGATTTACTACTACTGGACAACTGAGAAAAAAATGACTAAAAACTTGAAGTCAGGTGTGGTGGCACACACCTGTAATGCCAACACTTGGGAGTTTGAGGCTGGAGGATCACTTCAAATCTTAAGGTTCAATGTGAAAATGGACTTAAAAGAGCTTTTGGTAATGATTATTTCAGCATACCTAAAAGTATTAAAGGGTGACTAGATAGGCAGGTTTTCCCCAGTAATTTAAGATTTGTTTTGTTTTTTAGACTTTTCTGAGACAGCGTCTTGCTCTAATTCAGGCTGGGCTTGAACTATGTAGCCCAGACAGTCCTTGAACTCGGCAGCGATACTCCTGCCTCAACCATTAAAAAAAGTTCTTAGCCTGGATAAACATATATCTTAATTTTTTCCTATTGTTTAATGAAATGCACTTCCTTCAGTATTCTTAGTAACAAACCACAATACTTGGCATTCAATGCGTATGATTTTATTAGTTCAAAACAGTGTTTACTGTGGGAAACTTCAAAGTCAAGCCCACCAATCAGACTTCATTTACTGTATGAAGCACATCAAACTTGGTAGCCCATGTATTTATACACACAAAACCATCTTAAGGTGTTTGTTGGCATTACCAAACTGCATAAAGCACACAGAACCCCCATATATCTCACCCAAGCTCACTTAATTCAAATGACAGGAAAAATTTGAATGAAACAAAAACCTGTTAGTACTTACAGAAATGGCAGGCAGCTTAGGTGTTCAAATAACCTCTTCAAACTTTTTCATGTATCTTTAAAAGTTTTACACAATTCATTGATAAAGGGCATGAAGTCATATAATGTACCAAAAATTGAACACTACCCGTCCCACAACTTCCACATATAGTCAGTTAACACAACAGAATTCTTTTTATGTGAATGCAAGCCCTTCAACCATTACAGGAAATGTAACTGCCATTTACATGGCTATAGTTTAAATCATTTCCTACCTTTTAAAACTGTTACCACCACCACCCTTGATCCACGTTTACCATTTTGCCACCAAATTCTGCAACTATTTTAACTATATAGGCAAATTTCTATTCCCTAGCCAGCTTTCAGACCTGTGCCCATTTAACCTTTCCATGAATAGGCAGCTCCATGCACCCTCACCACCTATCTGCTAGTCTTCAAAACCAGAAGCAAAAATGACCTATCATTTCCTCCAAATATTAGCATTGCATATTTAATCCACAATTCAACCAACCCATTTTCGCAAAACGGTGATCTTCAGAGAAACAATGCTGTGATGGGTACAAAAGAGATTCTAATTATCCAGAAAACTTAATGGCTGTGATGGACACACAGAAGATTCAATTTTTATCTTTATTCTGAGTATGTTACAGTTTGTAATAATTTTCATCCTGAGAAAATAAAGGTAAACATTTGTTGGAAATGAAGCTCATTCTTGTCCTGACTCCAGGACACTATTAAACTGAAATTAAAAGGTACACAACCCCTTAAAACTGCACAAGACGTCGCCTTTACATATGCTGAGAAACAAGTGTGAACACATGCAAAATACATTATCCTGTTAATCTTCACCTGGCTTCTATTTATAAGCACATCACTTAGAAATAGCCAGGTGTGCTGGTGCACTGCAACCTCAGCAAAGTGGAGACAACTGCATTATTGAGGCCAGCTCAATTACAGAACTAGACACCCACCCCCAAAATCTATGTGTGGAAAGGAGCGATTAAAGCTATAAACGTGCAATGGCATAAAAAAAAAACCTCACAGATTACCAATCCTACCCCACAGAATTACCAGATGACTACCACCGTCTTTTCATCTGGGTTAAACTTGGGCACACTAACTTCATAATGCCTCAAGAAACCACACTTCTTATAGTTCTGGAGGCTGCTGCACACACACACACCCTCTCTCCAACTGTTTTTACCCTTTTCCCCCCAGACAACAGCTCAGATTCCTCACATGTACCACCAAGCTACCTGGTATTTTTGTCCTCAGGACGCATTCTTTTAAGCAACTATTAAGTAGCTGTAATTTTTATCTTTGAAAACCTCTTTTCTTATACAGATTTCCCACTTTTGTTTTCCATTTAATACTCTACCTACATCTTTTAATTATATAAATGCTCACTCCAAATTTCCTTTATTTCTAAAGTTGTAACATTCAACTATATGACTGAAGTCACATGAACATTGACAAAACACACACATTTCTAAAAATATTTTAATGAAAAAGTCATCTTTCCGTAAACATTTCATTATACCACAAATGAAACATTTGAATCCATTACAGACCACCTCTGAAGTCTTTAAAAATCAGAAAACATTGAAGCTTCAAAGTAACTCAGTATTCAGACAGGCTAACAATCCTTACATTACCCCTGCACATTAGCATGCTTTATTCACTACTTTGTGACATTAAACTCCCAAGAGATACCAACCATTAGAAATATTTGAATTTTGACTTACAGAGCTCTTAAAAACCAAGCCTATTTCTACTTAGTCCCGACAAATTGTTTATTATACCTCAAATAGTCTCTTTTTACAAGTGTAAACTCAGCTTTTAAGGAAATTATCAGAAGTAGTGACCTACAAATGCAACAGAATCAGCTCAAATTTGCCTCGAGCATTTCCAACCTTCCTTATTGGTGCTACCACCTAAGAGAACACATTGTTGAGAAATGACAACAGAACTACATTCAAATAAAATAATTTTATTTTACAAGTGAAATGGAACAGAAAGAACGCCCTTAAAAGAAATGTTTCATCTTAGGAAATTTCATTCACTAAAACCTTATCTTTTTAGGCTCTGACCTTACTAGCACTTAGTTCAATGTGTAGAAATTCAGTAGTGATTTAAACAGTTGACCTTTTATTATTTTACAGAAACTATTAATTTTTAGTGTCCCCTTTGTGTTACTTTATTAAAAAAGTGAATTAAACCTCAATGTTTAATATGCCCTTTTGGGGCAGCAAAAATAGCCCTTATGAATAATCAGCAACTAACACAAGTAATAACCAATTCTTTGAGAAAGACACCTTTTTATACATAAAGGACCATGAGTGTAAATCAAGTTCCTTACTGCCTGCTTCTAGTGAAGATACCAAAATAAAACCAAAATTTACCCCATCAGTCCAAATTCCCTGAATTTGTGAGAGCTTATGAAGCCACTTGCAGATAATTTTTGTATCTGTAATTGGGTAAGTTCATTTGAAGATGTTTTTCCTAATACAACTGGCAGCGCAATGTTCTTAAGTCATGCTTATGATAGAACCTATTCTCATGAAAGTTGAGGTTACTTATTCTTACCAAAAACTGACTCTACCCTAAAGATACTGTGAATTCCATACATGAAGAAAAACGGGTTACATGTGACTCAAGATGAACACTGAGATGGCCATTCCTGGGGAATTTTTAAAAATTGCCTTACGTTTAAATTGTCAAACGTGGTACCACTGCAGTTTTCAGTTTGGTAATTTTGCCAATGTATCTACCTGAGGGATTTGTGTGTTTTAAAGTATGTAATGTAGGTTTATATGGAAATAAATGGTGTTAAGTTTTACTGTGAGCTACAAACCTTACCCAGCCAGAAACCTTCGTATTTAAGATGGTAGGAAAGACATTCCTCATTTAGGCAAGAAGGGTTCTCATTCAACCTGCAAATCAAAAAGATTACTCTTACCTTGCTTTACAAAAAATTACTCTTTAATTAGTGAAAAAATTCAAATTCAAGCCTTACCTAATGCTTATTGCCCTTCCTTGCAGGTCTAAAGGCTAGACCTAGCAACTGTGGCAACTATCTCTCATTGATGTTCCAAAAGGCGAAGAGCTCCTTCCTGCTACTTTCTTCGATATTTCAGTTGTAATAAGCAGATTTTAACTAGCTTTTGAAAAGTTGCTCACTATCATCATAGTATCTTATGCCTTCACTTCTCTGTAGTTGAAGCTCTTGCTGCTGCCTTGTCATTCCTTTATTTATGCTGACTTGTCCATACTCAAAAGGCTGCTGAAGTCCTGTCTTAGGGAGTTTCCTTTGATCCACACTGTGCTTTAAAAAGCACATCTTAGGTCCTTTAAAGCTGGTTAAATCGCTCTCCTCATGGCTTACTTTTCCGCACTGTTCACACAAGCTAAACTAATACAACTTATAAACAGGTCACATACACAGATTTCACCTGCTTATAGGTTGCAAACATCAACTTAACTGGAAATATTTTCACTACTGAACTAGTTCCAGAACACAGAAAGTTGGTTATAACAGTACAATTAACCTCATATGCCATTAAAGGATACTGTCAAGGTTGTGTCAGACAATTTCACAAACAAAAACAGAAAATGTTAATCTCCCCCATTCCTTCAACCTTTATTGTATGAATAAAAGAACTTGAGACAATTTAGCTCAATTTTAATAAAGTGTTCCCCAAGCAGTATTTTGACCAGGTATCCAAGGTTTAAATTATGAACATTGACAGTGTCCATTTATATAACCACACTTTTAGTTATAAAGGACTTAACCATTTTCTAATATTAGCCTATTTTCTACACTGCTTATTCACATATGCCCATTAACAAATGGAATGTTGTCTGTTACATTTATTGTTTTGTGAGTGTTTTCTGGAAAACTGCAGTATCTGTGAAGACCGATTTCCATGCTGGCATTGCATGCATCCAAGTATTATTAATGCACAGAGGCACAGAATTAGAGCAACAAGAGAGCATATTCAAACACTAGCACGCCCCATTCCCCTTTATTGCTTGTTTTGCTTAGTACTTTTAAAACCAAATAAAAACCTTGAATTCAATGTTCAACTGCCAAAGAAAAGGAACAGCAGGGCACATACTTAGGGCTTGAATGAAAGAAACTGTAAGCACTAGCTGGCGCGAAACAGTAGACAATTGTTTTATATATATATATATATATGACCTTGAAATCTAAAACTCTTCTCAACCAGGGTCTTCCAAACAAATTGACAACTCACACCAACATGATTTAAGTTAAAATATACACAAGGAATAACACAATGTGTTCTCTGGGAATTTAAGAATGTGAATATTATCCAAATTTGAATCCAGGTCTTTGGGGAGTGTGATGCTTTGTACTGAACAACTGTGCTACATTTCTGCTGCATTAAATGGTTTTGAACAATTACACCTAAACTATCCTTGGTTTCATTCAGCAAAACATGTAAGGTAAAAACAGGAAAAAGCATGCCAGCTAGTTAGGGGTTTAATAATACATGATTTTTATTCTCTTGCTCTGAAAGCTTGTATTGGGGGGAAGGGGAAAAATCCAAAAGTAACTCAAGATTTAAAAACTGGGCCTCTTGTGTGCTTTAAAAAGAAAAAACGAAACCAAATATCCACTAATTTGCTCAGACACAGCAGGCTTAGTGGTTCTGTATCTCAAAATAAAGGTTTTTAATGTGGGAGAGGAAAAACACCCACTACCCTTTTCCAGAATTTAATAAAGGGCAGCAGACATTTCTTTACACCCAGAAACTATGGCAGCAGTTTAAATGTGACCAAGGTAAGTGCAGAATGGAGATGTTTTAAACACAGCTAGGACTCAGCAAATCTAACACACTAAAAATCATGATTACATTTTGAAAGAAAATGCACAAAAACCATAAGAATTTTGAGATTTTTCATTTGAAAGTAATCTTAATGCTATTAAATTCACAAATATGCTAATTTAAATACCCAATCCTATTTTATCTAAAACACACATTGCAAACATACAAATATCTATTCTCTCCACATGTCAGTGCCCATTTATACCATGGTTTGAAATGGGGAGAATAGATTTATTCCCCTTAATCTGCAAGTCAGTAGGTGTTTCTTTACAGTTAACTTTAGCAAAATTCATACAAAATAGTAATTAACAATGATCTTCTTTACTTGTTAACTCACAAGGAAACACCTTCAAAACTGCATTTTGTTAAAGTTTCTGTACTAAAGTGTAGAAAAACTGAACTACACAAATATTGAAAAGTTAAAAATTCCTTAATTTTTTATTCCTGGTACCACTACCACAATTTACAGGGCAATATACCTGATGTAATGAAAAGAAAGAAAAAGACAAAGCTACAACAGATAAAAGACCTCAGGAATGTACATCTAATTGACACTACATTGCATTAATCAATAGCTGCACTTTTTGCAAACTGTGGCTATGACAGTCCTGAACCAGAAGGGTTTCCTGTTTAAGCTGCAGTAACTTTTCTGACTATGGATCATCGTTCCTTCTGTGGCAGATTTTTACAGTTCCTCTAATGCATTTGGGACGACTGTCTCAAAGTAACCTGCAGCTTTCCTGACAACTCCTCGCTCTCTCTCCTGCTAAGAACTGTAGCCTGTTGAATAATACAGGATAAAAAAATTATTACACTCAGTGAACAGTTCCACATATTCTTTATCATAATGATAAAAATTTAAAGATACCTACCCTTTTCTGTTGTTTTTTTAAAACCTTCTGCTACCATATCCACCACTTCCACCACCAGATCCATAACCACCTGGAAATATACATGCAGAATTTTCAAATATATATAGAATTTTAAATTGAAATGGCTATAAAAATTTTTCTTCAAGAAATTACTTACCACCATAGGGACTGCCAGAGCTTCTTCCACCAAAACTGCCCCCCTTCATGGGTCCATAATTTGACTGCTGTTGTCCACTATAATTTCCAAAATCATTATAGTTCCCACCACCACCATAGTTACCTGAAATCACAAAGATTTTGTGGTTTACTTGCAGTTAATTACTTGTTTTTCATTTGTGCAATTACTAATCTGTTGATACTCGTAGCACATTTTATAATACTTCCACGTGACTTGGAAGAGAGATCTCAGAGACACCAAACTCCCTCTAGTGAACAGAGGCCTAATTGCCCTAAGACATGAGTACAAGAGGAAACAAAAGTGGAAGATTGCCAAAAGTATTTTCTAGATAACTGTTAGGGGGCTAAGGATGTAGCTCATCAGCACAGGACCTGCCTGATGAATGCAAGGCTCTGAGTTTGATTCTCAGTACCAAAGTAATGTTTTAAAAAGTTAAGACATTAGCATATTAGAAAAACACCCATTTATTTGAAGCTATACGCTACACATATATTCTCATTCCTCTAACACTATCAAAATTGTTAAGTATTCAATTCACTGATTCCATTAATACCCACAGTAAAGTCACATTTATAGTCTGCAAAGCAACAGATTGTTAATCTGGACCCCAGATGGCACCATATTCAAGTATTAGAACAATCTGCAAATCCTGTTTGTGTAGCTTAAAAGTTGCCTAACCTTTAAGCAAAATTTTGCCAATAAACACAATTTTTAAACATGTAAATACCCCATTTTACTAACCCCCCAGAAAAAATTTAGTGCATTTTATCAATTTAGTAAACAGCAAGCAAAGAAAACTGAGTTTATCTCATCTGAATGTTTTGTAATACTACAAAAAAAACAAATGGTAATTCATTACTTTTTAAACACACTGTAACTTACCACCACCAAAATTTCCTCCTTCGTTGTAACCATCATATCCTCCTCCACCACCACCGTATCCACCACCTTGGTTTCCATATCCTGGTCCACCACCACCATACCCTCCTCTACTACTGTAACCAGGGCCACCACCATAGTTTCCACCTAAAAATATAAAGTAGGATCAAATAAAAAATAGGAAATGTGAGCCAGGCGTGGTGGCCCATGCCTGTAATCCCTGCACTTGGGAGGCTGAGGCACGAGGATCATTTCGAGGTTGAGACCAGGCTGGACTATATAACGTGAGCTTAAGGCCAGCTTAAAATGCATAGTGAGACCCTGTCTCAAAAAACGGAAGTATAGAAGATCAAGATATTGAGTTCTGATTTTGTTATATTTAAAGCACTGTCAAGCAAACCAATGAAAGGATTTAACACTAAAACCTGATGATTTGTCATTAATAGAGCAAAGAAATTGGGCCAGTAAGAAATCTTTTCTTGTCTTGAGACAGGGTCTTGCTCTAACTCAGGCTGGGACTGAACTCACTATGTATCCCAGGCTGGCCTCAAACTCAGCAGAGACTCCCCCTGCCTCAACGAGTGCTGAGATCACAGGAGTACAACACCTCGCCCAGAAGGTCTACAAGAATTAAGATGACTATTTCTTGAAATTGAAAGCAAAATTCATTGTCTTCATTTTCAAAAATATCACAAAGGAAAATTAGAACACTTCTAGCTTAACTTTCAGTACATCAAATCTTACTGGCAAAAAGAACTAGTTATGTCCAATCTCCAAAGGTAACTCGTTCTTTTATGGTACTAGCTTTAGTATACTTTTACTGTCAACACATTTAAGTGTTGACAGTAAACTTTCCTGACCGAAGTTGGAAAATGTAATACAGTTTTCAGTAAGGTATAGAAACAGTCAAAGTACCAAACATCACTTAATGAGAAAACTTACCATCACCTCCAAATCCATTATATCCACCATCACCTCCTCCATAACTGCCTCTGCTGCCACCTCCTCCACCACCATAACCTCCTGAGGAAACCCAAAGTATGAGGTAGAATTATATATTCGGCTTTCCATTACACAACAAATACACATGTACTTAAAGAATTAGTAAGTACATCTTACCTCTTCCACCAAAGTTTCCACCACGCCCAAAATTCCCTCCACCACCTCCAAAGTTTCCTCCACGACCCATAAAGTTGCCAGATCCACCTCCACGACCTTTAAATACAGGCAAGAAGATTTTTAAGAACCTTACCAACAACACCACTCCAATCTACTGTGTATGTGTATACAAGCCTACTCACCTCTTTGTGATCCAGCAGACTGCATCTCTTGCTTAGAAAGGGCCTTTTTCACTTCACAATTATGCCCATTAATAGTGTGGTATTTCTGAACTACATTTTTATTAATCAAACAAACAAAAAAAGTTATTATATGTTTGGAAAAGCACACAGAAATGAAATCCTGTCACTACATAACTTATTAAAACACTGTCAGGAAGGTAGCTGAAGCTAAATGGGAGTAAGGGAGTGTTTATTTCTTGATGCAGATGCTGGTATAGAAACAAGTGTAGATGCTTTGAAAAGAGAACTACAAAGTACAGGGTATCAAACATAACAAAAGCCATTTGTTTCCGCACTCAAGTTCCTAGGAATTGTTACTTACCAACAATTTTATCAACTGTATCGTGATCATCGAAAGTTACAAAAGCAAATCCTCTCTTTTTCCCACTCTGCCTGTCTTCCATAACTTCTATGGTTTCAATCTTGCCATATTTTTCAAAGTAGTCTCTCAAATTATATTCTTCTGTATCTTCTTTAATACCGCCAACAAAAATTTTCTTCACTGTTAGATGGGCACCAGGCTTTACTGAATCCTACAGATAAAATAATGTTAAGTCAAAAATAACAGACATTCACAATTTCACATATTATACAACATACTAATAAACTACCTCTCTAGAAACAGCTCTCTTTGGTTCCACTACACGCCCATCAACTTTGTGTGGTCGAGCACACATTGCTGCATCCACCTCTTCAACACAAGAGTAAGTCACAAAACCAAAGCCTCTGGAGCGTTTTGTTTGGGGATCTCTCATTACCTGCAATATAAAACGTTTAAAGCTTTAAAGTATACCTGCACAGACCATCCTTTCGTAAGAGCCATTTCACTCCCGTAATAACTTACCACACAATCTGTGAGTGTGCCCCATTTCTCAAAATGTTCTCTTAAACTGTCATCCGTTGTTTCAAAGCTCAGACCACCAATAAACAGCTTCCTCAACTGCTCTGGTTCCTTTGGATCATGGCCCTGAGGGAAAAAAACACACTTTAATTACTTCTTGTAGTAGATGAAATTTGTCAACAATCCTTAACATTTAAGTAGAAATATCAAATACATGTAACAAACATTTCACCCTGCTAAAAATCTAATGTGGTGCCAAGAAAACCTATCACCAGCCTAGCAACTGCCAACATTACATCCAAACTGAAGTCCAAGAGAATTTCAGAATCAAAAGTAACTTTTAATTTTTCAAGCCACAACTAAAGGTACCTGGGGGCAGGTTATTTTGGAAATTGATAATGATAAATCATTTTAGGAAACCGAAGTTTTAGAAAAAAGTGTTCCACCCATTCCATTTTAAGTACTATCTACACTCCAACAAGCTTTTAAAACCACCTAACTGCGCGGTATTTAAAGTTTTAAGTAAACAAATGGACATTCCTAGGCTAAACTGGTATGTCTCCCCCTAAACTCAAGGCAAAACGCCCATCTAAAAACTTTTGTGTAGCCAGGCATGGTGGCACACGCCTGTAATCCCAGCACTCGGGAGGCTGAGGCAGGAGGATCGTTGCCAGTTCGAGACCAACCTGGGCTACAAAGTGAGCTCCAGGCCAGCCTGAACTGCACAGCAAGACACTGTATAAAAAAGACAAAAAAAAAGAACTTTTGTCACGATGAATTTAAGTTAGGGCCAATATATACTGCCTGCACAGAACAGAGCACAAGCACAAATTTAGTTTTTGGAAAAAATGAAAGTTGCAGCTTGGAAACGTTTTATTATTACTTGAAATTATATAAACTATTAAATATATATAAACTATGTGATTGTATAAATGCCATTTAATTCATGCATTAAAATTTTGATCATCTAAAGTCCTTAAAGGGGTTCACATCTTCCTACCTCCTAAGTAGATGTGAAGGAATTTAATGCGAATAAAAGCTTTCAAAAAAGGTAATTGAGTGCCTAAAGTCATGAATTCATTTAGTCTCATTTTTTTCAGGCCTTGGATAAATTCACTTGACAATACAAAAATACTTAAAATTCACATAAAATTCTCCCAAACACAAAAAATACTAGTCTATCCATGTAATGCGAAAATACATTTTAAAAAGTATTTTTCCAAGTTCTACAGTAAAAATTATCTCAGCTACATGGTAATTTTGGTAATATCAACCTACGTTGGTAAAAATACTCGAGCAAGAATAGCAGATTGCTAAGTATTTTAAAGCACCAAACTTCTCAGAAATCTCGTATTTCCAGCTGGGTGGAGGAAAAAACAGGCCCGAGAATTAATAAATTCTCGTCTCCAGGAGGCTTATCGGTAAAAGTCTAAAAATGCGCCGGCACCATTTCAGCGAGCGCGCTACGCCGAGCTCTTAGGCCATTTGCAGCGTTTATTTCTGCCGGGCGCCTCCGGCCTGTTCCCTCCAATCCCGCGCTCTTCCCCAGCGGCGCAGCCAGGCGGCGGCCATTGCGAGCCAATGCGCCATTTCGTAACGCGGCAGCCGATCAATGTCAATGGGGCCGCCGCCCGCCTGCTCGCTCGCCCGGATGTGCCCGCTCGTCCCCTCCCCTCCCCCACCGCCTCTCCAA